AGCTGTAGTTGTAATAATATTATGTGTGCAACATTGTTTTGGCCTTTTAAACCTAACATTATGCAATAAGCTTTTCCTCATGCTATCGCATGACATTAAAAATGTTTCAGTGCCCATGTGGCTAATTTATTTATTCAAGAGGTTTTTTTGTCTCTCAGTGAGATGCCAAGTAGTGTTTTCAGCTCAGAGTATAGCAGTAAATAAACGAGCAAACCCTCTGCCCCCAAGGGCTTATATTCCAGCTGGGGAAGAACAATGACCAAGGAACTAGATTCAAAGATTGTGGCAAGTGCCACGAATGAATTAAATGGTATTATCAGAGAGCAACAGTGGGGGTTTGGGAAGGGTTGCTACTTTCATAGGGTGGGGAGGTGCAACTTGGACCCAAAGGACCCAAACCGAGCCAGCCAGGAGCATCAAGGGCAGAGGGAAGAGTTCCCAGGAGAAGGGACAGAAAAATGCAAATGTCCCAAGGCAAGAGAAAACCAGGCAGGCCTAGGGGATCCCCAGGATGTGAGTGGACTGGAGAAGAATGTGGACCCGCTGAACCCAGGGCCTCGTGGGTCCCACCAAGAACTTTCGCTGGTATAGAAAGTGCACCGGGAAAGCGCTGAGGACTTGGGACAAGTATGGGTTGGGAGAGGCCCAGTGTGAGTGTCAGCCCTGTCAGAGGCTACTGCAGGAGCTGGGGCAGGGACGGGGGCGGCCGATCCCTTCTGTGTGAGTGTCCCCAAAGAGCGGCAGCCCAAGCAGAGCACTGCTGCTCCCCATCTGGATGGCACGTGCTGTGCTGCCCTTCCCTGGAGGGACAGGTGCTGCTTGAGTGTTTGGGGCTGGGCGGGGGCGGGGGCGGGGGGAGCAGCACAGGGAACAGCAGCTTCAGTGTCCGTTAAGTTCAAGGGCAGCATGCGTATGACTTTGGTACCAGGGATTGAGCTTGGGACCTTGCACTTGTGAGGCAGGTGCTGGAACCACTGAGCTAAATCCCCGGCCCCCGTATGACTTTGGAGTCAGGTGATTTGGATCAAATGCTTGCCTTTATGACTTCAGGGAATTACTTAACTTTAAAAAAATCAGTTTCTTTATTTGCAATCACGGGAATAATTGTGCCTACCTGAAAGAGGGAGAACGTAGGCAAAGTGCTTAGTTTAGTGTTCCGCATGCAGCAAGCACTCAGTAAGTGGCTATTACGAACAACAAAAAAGCAAAGAGGTGAAAGCATACCGACGAGCAGCTGCAAACAAGTTCAGGAATAAATCTCAGTGCTGTGGATATTAGAGCTGTTTGGTAGCTCTGCCTGAGGATCTGTAGCAGTCGTAACAATTCCATTTTGCAACATGGCAGATACATGCTTCTGCAAAGGGCAACAGTATGCCATTCCACAGATACTAAGATTTATAAGGACATTGGGTATTTATGGATGCTTCCGATAAAAATAGCCAAAGCCTGTTCTACTTTGTGTCAAAAAGAACAAAAACAAATCTAAATAGCAAAGCTTTCTCTTATATTTCATTAAAATATGAATATATTTCCTAAAATTGTGGAAGCCAATAAACCAAATTGTTTATAGTACCTCTGCCAGGATGGAGAGAGTAAGGCTGATTTCGTGTTATTTTTTGTTTGTTTGTTTGTTTTTTGGTACCAGGGATTGAACTCAGGACCTTGGGCTTGCGAGGTAGGCAGTGGAATCACTGAGCTAAATCCCTGGCCCTTCATCTTACTTTTCTGAAAATTGTGTAATATGTACAAATGACTTTTACAGTGAAAAAATTAAAACTCTTATTAAACTAAATTAATATAAGAAATTCCATTTTAGCATCACCCTAGAGATAGAAGTACAAAATGAACCCTTCTATTTTTATTTCTAAAAGGTATAGACTGTCCTAAAAGTTGGAGACCCATGGCAATTATTTCAAACGACATTCAAATGAATCTAAAAATCTTCACCTAGATGCAAATAAAATAGAGATTGACAGCCAAATCATAGCTCAAAAAGTGTGTTAGTTAGCTTCCTGTCCCTGTAATGAAACACCTGCGGTACTTGGCTTGTAAAGGGAAAAGGGTTTTTTGGCTCGCAGTTCTGAAGGTTGCAGGCTAAGTCTGGGCAGACCCATTGCTTTGGGTCTCTGGGTCATGTCAGGTGGTGATGGCAGGCAGCACTCGGAAAACTGCTCCCCGCTTGGCCAGGAAGCCGAGGAGGAGGAAGAGGTTGGGGTCTCACAGTCCCCTTCAAGTGTACACCCCAGTGACCCAAGGCCTCCCACTGGATTCCAGCTCCTAAAGCTTCCACCACCTCCCAGGAAAGCCACCCCGGGGACCACACCTTTATCCTATGGGCCTTTAGGAACATTCAACATCCAAACCATCAAGGCGAGAGAAAATCTTCGGCTTATTTTCACAACTGCCTTAAAATGTCAGAATGTCAGGCTGTAGTGAGTGGGATTTGGGATTCAGAATTTAAGAAGTTTCACATGAAGAATATGAAAAGAAACATGCAGACAACCAGGCGTGGGGGTGCAGGCCTGTAATCCCAGCTACTCAAGAGGCAGAGGCAGGAGAATTGTTAGTTCAAGGCCAGTGTGGGTAAGTTAGCAAGACTCTGTCTCAAAATTTAAAAAAATAATTGCCCCCTTCTTTATGCTGGGGTGACTGCAGTGGTCTCTCTACGGGGCCATGTCCTGAGCCCCTCCCAGGCCAACCTCCACACTGCAGGCTTGGTGGTGATGGTTCTAAAACACTGCTCTGATCTTTCATTCTGTGCTTCAAATCTCTCAGCGATTCCCTATTATGTCCTGGACGCCTCAACACTGCCTCTTCCCTCCCAAGGTGTCCTACCATGGCCTCCCTGTCTAGAGAGCTCTCCTTTCTTCTGGGCCACTGCAGCCAGTCCCTCAAAACTGGGGTCCTTCTCTCTGTACCTCTCCACAGGCTTCCTCTTCTGCTTCTCAAGGCCTCCTGTTCCCAAGCCAGCCAGAACAGCCCCTCCTGGGACAGGGAGTTGTGTCATAACCAGCCTGAGGGCTGGGCCCTGCCCCGCTCAGCCTGGGATCACCAGTGTTACGATCATTCCCGCACATGGCACCTGGCACAGTTCTGAGGACCTGATACATATTAACTGTACTGTATCAGTCTCTTTTCTGTTGCTAATAACAGAACAGCCCAGAGTGGGCAAATGGAAGGAAAAGAGGTAAATGGAAATGAGTAAATGGAAGGAAAAGAAATTTTGGCTCACAGTTCTGGCCCAAGGTGGAAGGCCCATGTATAGTGATGCCCTCCCTGCCTGCACAGTCCAAAGGTGCAGGGCATCACATGCCAGAGCCAGGGCACACAGGTGTGTGCCGCATGGTCTCTCCTTTTAATAAAGCCACCAGGATTTGGTCATGGGGCTCTGCTTGATGGCTCTGCTAGTCCTAATCACCTCCCAAAGACCTCATCTCTCAACATCGAAACCAGATTAGATTTCACTCTAATACCTCAAATGGGGGCTGAATTTCAATGCATGAAACTTTGGGGTGCACACTTAAATCATCCCCAAACCATAGAAGTGACTCATCCAGTCCCCATAATAACACTCGGTTGTTAGGAGAATGGGCAAGCATTCACTTAACAAATGTACACTGAGGGTCTAGTAGGTGTCATGGACGATTTCAGGTGCTGGGTATTCAGGAATGAGTGAGACACACACACTGCTGATTTCAGAGAGTTGGTCCTGTGTCTAGGCAAATGGGTGATAAAGTGAGAGCGAGTCCTGTGTGTGTGTGTTTTTGTGAAGGAGGGAAGGTGTCAGGCAAGGGAAACAGCTGAGACAAGAGCACACCCAGACTGTACAGCTCACAGCGTGCTGGAATGCAAGGAGTGGGGTGATAAATGGGAGGCACTGAGAGGCAGCGCAGGGGCAGGATGGGGAGGCCGTTTGGCTCAGCTGAGGACGTTGGAGTTAAGCTCAATGGGAATCACTGGTAGCTGGTGGGGCATGGTCTGACCCAGCTTCTGAAGGATCCCTCTAGCTCCTGAGCAGAGAATACAGACTCAGGGGCAATACTGAAGCCGGTCGCCCAGTGAGGACAGCAGTCCGACATTGACCATGGTCGACCGAGCCGCCCCCACCGAGATGGGGAGAAATGGTCAGACTGAAAGCAGAGCAAGCAGGATGCGTTGCTCCTGGCTGTAGAGTGTATGTGAGAAGCAGCCAACCTATCTGGGGTCAGAGCTTCGGCCAGCTGGGGGACTGGTGGAGTCTCTGTCCTGGAGGAAGGACCACTTTGGGGGTCTGGTAGGAAATGAAGCATTCTGTTTTAGATCTGTAAGTTTCAGTTGCTGCCAGAATTTGGTTTTATCTTCTATGAAATGAGGATGATAATGATTATTGTACATATTTGTAGTGAGAATCAAATGGGCTCATTCTTTTGATGCTATGTGGATGGAAGGTCTATTTTTAGTTGCACTGAAGCTAGGCTAGAGTTTCCTTTAAAAGAACACAAGCAAAACTCGCTTATTAACTCGATATTGCTGCATGTGTACAGTTGTGTTTCACATCAGGAAGTGACGCTGGTAACAGGCCGCCCTCCATATTTACTTAGTGTTTATAACAGCATTTATATGGGTTATAGGTGCAGGATAGCATTTATACAAAACAGTTAAATAGGTTATAAGGAATAAATGAACAATTTACAATTATATATATTTGTATAGAGCATTTCTATAGGTGCACTAAGTATAACACATCACAGAATCCTCTGAAGTCTCTTATCACCTTCAATTTGCAGATCAAACTGCGATGACACAAAGGTGCAGGAATGTGAGTTCCAGGTCCCAGGGTTAGTGCGCGGTAGAGCAGGAGTCAGCCCGAGCCCTGGTCTACTCGCACCCTACTCGCCCAGCCTCCGGTGCCCGGCGTCCGCAGGGCTATCTGGGACACGTGACCGTGGCCCCGCCCCTCTGACACCCGGCCCACGCCCCTGCCCCGGAGGCGGTTCTGCCTCTGCGCAGTAGTAGCCAGTAGGTACGGGTGGCGACACCGGGAGTCTCAGCCTCAGGCCACCCAGCGCCCAGCGTCCTTTCTTCCTCGTCCCGAGGTCAGCTTCGTCCCAGCGCTGCCACACACGCGCCTTCTCGGCCTCGCTCGCTCCGCGCGCCCCGCCCCGCCAGCTGTTACAAGTTGCTTTAAACGCTTGCCGGGGTCGTGATTCCCACTCCGGTGAAGCCGACCACGTGCCACACTGAGCTGCGCGCTGAAGGTGACAGCAACAGGACGGGACCCCTGACCTTTAGAGACCCTGAGCGAGGGGACAGGTTTCCGTGCCTTTCAGCCTTGCGTCCCACCTCCTAGGACCGAGTGGGTGCCGAGCCAGCATTCAATAAGCAGCCATTCGTTTACTTAAATGTTTTTTGAGCGCCTACTACATATCAGGCAGGCTGTGGAGATAGGTGCTGAGGATGGCGGGAGCCCAGAGAGGCGCAGGGTCCCCTTACCTTTCCCAGCTCCCCCCGTGCCCGGCAAGAGGGGCAGGAAAGGCCGCAAGAAGCGGCGCAAGCAGAGGCAGAGAAGCGGGCGTGGCACCTGGCCAGAACCGCACGTCTGCCTGGAAAGTCCAGGCGAGACGCACGTGCCGAGGGCGCTTTGGAGACCCCGGCCCACTCTTGCCGCCAGCGCCGGTCACACGGGCACCAGCCTGGCGAGGGGGAGAGCGGAGCCTGCCCCGCCAGACTGGAGGAAGGGGGCCGGACCGTGCGTGCGCGGTCTGCTTGCTTAGGAGACGAACTCGGGTTCAGCGCCCAGACCCGGATTCCAATCCCAGGCCTGTCGCTTACTCCTTGTGTCACCTTGAGCAAGTCCTTTATCCTCCCCGGGGCTCATTTCCACGTGGGTAAAATGGGTTTTCAATAACCTAAGGGTTAATTGCAGGCTTAAGGGGAAAATGCCTGGAGCGCTTCCCCAGCCTGGTGCGCGCGGCACGGAGCGCGCCTCCTGGAGCGGAGGTTGTAATTGCCCGCTGCTCACATCTCGCCGGGCCAGGGCGCCCGCCGATCTCTTCCAAGGGACCGGCTAGCAGCCTATTAGGGCGTGCCGGGTTTTGATAGATTTATTTGCTTGCTTGGGGCGGGGCTTGGTGCGTAGCCGGGAGAGGGGGGAGGCAGGAGCCCTGAAAAAGGGAAGACGCGGGCCGCGAGCGGGGCGGGGCGGAGCGGAGCGGGGCGGAGTCAGGCTGGGCTCCGGCCCGGCTCGGCGCGCACCCCGAGCCGCGGGTCGCACGGCCAATGGTGCTCGGCGCTGCGGCGAGGGCGGTGCAGGATCCCCAGCCGCTGACAGCCAAACTCGCCAACTCCGCCCTCGTCCCCGCGGGAGCCGGGAGCCCGGAGTCCGGAGCCCGAGCCCGCCAGGGGCCGAGGACGCCCGATCCGCCCGCGAACATGGCAGAATGAAAAGGCAGGCGCCGACTCGTGGTCGCCGCTGCGCGCGCTCCCAACCACATCCTTAGCCGGCCTCCCGGCGGCTGCTGGTTTTTTTCATTCGGAACCGAGGGCGGAGGAGAGAGCGAGTCCGTGCCCCGGCAGGGTGTAGACCGCGCGTGCGACTCGCCGGCCGCTGGAAAGACGCGGGGGAGCGGGATGAGCGGGCCATGGAGCGACCTCGGCGGGGCGCACGGAGCCTGCCGGCGCAGGGGCGGGAGCGCTGCCTGAGCCCGGGATCCGCGGGGCTTCGGAGCCTCGGGCTCCCCGGGGGAGTCCCTGCCGCTGCCTCTGGGAAGGACAGGAGCCCCGCGTGGCGGAGCCTGCCGCAGTCGCCGCACTGAGGCGCCCCAAGCCTGCTCCGCCCGTTTAGTGCTCCCTCGGCCGGCGGGCGCCGTGCCCAGTGCCCGGCGCGATCGGCTGCAGGAGCCAGGTGCGGGGCCGATTGGAGAGGCGCGCGCGCGAGTGCTCCTGGAGACCCGGGCAGCCATGCTTCCTGGGGTGGGCGTGTTCGGCACCAGCCTCACGGCCCGGGTCATCATCCCGCTTCTGAAAGATGAGGGCTTCGCGGTGAAGGCGCTGTGGGGCCGCACGCAGGAAGAAGCGGAGGAGCTGGCCAAGGCGATGAACGTCCCCTTCTACACTAGCCGCATCGACGAGGTGCTGCTGCATCAGGACGTGGACTTGGTGTGCATCAACCTGCCACCGCCCCTCACCAGGCAGATCGCTGTCAAAACCCTGGGTGAGTGCCCCTCCCTCCCCTCGCCGACCTTCCCTCCCCTCTGTCTTGCTCTTGCGCTCTCCACACCAGAAGCTTACACTGCATTTGCCCTGCCTTGGCGAGCTGGGGTCCTACAACCCCCGCGCGCTTCCCCCTTCCCTAGTCCGTGGCCTGCCCCACACCCGCCCTTCTCTCTCCTCGCTCCACCTGGACCGGCTGACCCCCGTGTGTAGCGCGGAGACCGGAGGAGCGTGGGTCCCGGGGATGCGGATCGGAAGGCAATGGGTTGCTCCGGGAGAGAAGGAACAGTCCCCAGCCGTGTGCGTAGCGCCGCGTGAGTTCGTGCGTGCCCACCTGGGAGAGACGCGTGCGAGGCCAGAAACGCCTGAATCAAGGGCCGCACACGTGCCTTGGGTTTTCCTGGAGCTACGGAGTACATACAGTACCTGGTTTTCGGCAGCTGGGGCGCCATGCCAGGGTGTTTGTTTTCACCCTGAGAGTTTCCTGTGGAATTATTTCGTCGGTGCTGGAGGCAAGGATGGTGGGAGTGGCTGGATGGAGGGGACGTCTGTTAGAACATTTTCAGAGGTGTTGGGGTTAGTAAAGATTGCTTTGGTGAAACCAGAGGAATTTAACCTTGGAGCGCAGACTCCCTGGAGTGGAATTGTTTTCTGCACCGATTTGGAATAGTGGATCTTACATTTTTAGGGGATGGGCACCGTAGCTCCAGAGGCGTGGGTGCTCTGTGTTGGAAAAAGCCAAACTCTGCCAGGTTCTTTTGGAATGGGTACCTCCTCAATTCCGGGGAAGGCATAGTTCCGGGGTGTGCTGGTGACCAGCAGACTGCGGGTGAGATCGCTGCCCCCGCCATCCTGCCAGCACTCTCACCCAGCCTGTCGGAGGACTCTTTGGGCTCAGGTAGCAGCATCTCCTAGCAGGGATCAGGGGGAAAGAGAAGCCCATGTTTTGACCATCAGTGTTGTCGCACATACCCAAAACAACAGCAGGAAGCCCACTCGACTCCTTACTATAGCAGGAAATTGACTGTAATCACCTTTGAAAGTTGGAGTTTTTATTGGTGAGAAAAGGGACAAAGCATCAAGATGGAATGGGATGTCTGGTAGGGTTCCTAAAGGGGCTGCTCCTGGTCATCAGTTTTAACGTTAATTAAGCTTCTGGTCTTTGTAGCCTGGTTTCTTTGGCCTGAATTGAATGCCCCTGCATTCCGGAGAATCTTTCTTTTCAGCTTGATGGAACATTTATGTTGGGTAGCTAACTCCCTTGTTCACATGGAATCTGTGCATATAAACTAGATTATAACCAAGCTGTAGTGTAAGTGTATCAGGGCGCTGAGTATAAACTGGTTCCCTTGAGCTGGGTCTGGACATATCAGAAGGGCCGCAATGGAGCCACCACTTCTCCCCTGCATGGTGGCCCAGCCCTGGCGATAGTCCCAAGAGCCACCCCAGAGCAGGGAGTGGCAGTCTGGGGGACAAGGATGTTCCTGTGTTCTGACCATCTCTAGCCCTTTGGCCATGAAAGTCTTTGGGGAATCTGGCTTTAAGTGATGTGGTCTAGGGTACGATACTTTCTCTGGTCTTGTTTTCAAATATTCCTATGCAGACAGGGGCTGTAGCTCAGTGGTAGAGGGCTTGCCTAGCACGCACAGCGCCCTCCCTGGGTTTGATCCCAGCCGTGGACAATGTGTGTTCCTTGTTCAGAATCAAGTATAAGAAGCATAACAGACTTAGTTTCATAAGTATGACAAGGGGCCTGAGATGTAGCTCAGTGGTAGAGCTCTTGCCTAGCATGTGCAGGGATCTGGAATTCCTAGCACCCCCCCAAAAAAAAGAAAGAAAGAAAGAAAAAGATCTATGATTAAGAAATAGGATTTTGCTTATATTTTCATGGTAGGTTTTGGACTTTCTTTTCTTTACTGTTTTTTGTAATTCAAAGTAGTAAAGTAGTTTATGATTACAGAAAATGTGAAGTGCTAGACTTCCTTTAGATGTGGCTGGGGCTTTTAGTCTTGTGCTAGTCTTCAGCTTCCCTAGGGTTGTCTGGGTTGTGGCTATGATTACACAGTGGGTTGTTCATTTTGGTTGGCTTCATGGTCATGGTTAGAGCCTCAACACACAACATAGGAAGTGAAAAACCCCAACAGTTGTCAGTCGCCTGGCCGTTGGGGGTTTGTAGATATTAGTGTTCGGCTGGAATTGAAACCAGCTAACCTTTGACTAGTCCTGGTGAATTGTCCTTCTTTAGGCAAAAGCGTGGGCTTTGAGTTGCTTGCTCAAGGAAGGAGATAGATCTGTGGTCTTCAGTCCATATCTATAACGGGTCCCAGGCCAGTCGAGGGAAGAGCCACATCATCGATGGCTCAGAGAATAATGAGGCTTTGAGTCAACTGAATCACACACATCTTCCTTAAATTTCTAGAAATTTCCTTAAAATCTCTACCTCAGTGGCCCTGGCATTTCTCTGTTGAAGAGACACTTCTACCATGTGCAGTCTATATCCTGTCCAAGGCTACCTTTCAGCACATACTGTGCGCCAGGCTATGTGGTAGGTGCTGTGTATAAATCATTTCATGACTAAAATAATCCTTTAAGATGGACATTAAAAAACAAAGGTGGATATGAATCCCATTTTACAAATGAGGCAACTGAGGTTTGGAGACCTGTGTTGATTTGCCCAAGGACGTGCAGCTAGAATTTGCACCTCCCGAGCCGCCTCGCTCCTTCACTACAGCTCCTCAGCGGCCTAAGTGACACTGCTGGAGATGTCCTGGATCCCTTTGTACCCCACCCATGGAATCAGTTCCCTCTCGGGTCAGTGCTGTCTCCCAGGTCCCTGGGTATCTGTTCCCCCTTCTGTGACACTGCTTCCACCCAGGAGTCTAGATCCTTGCCTAGTTTCTGAATTAGGCTCCAGGTGGTCCCCACCCACCTTCCACACCCCTGCTGGGTGTGTTGGAAAACTACAGACCTGGTCCTTTCGCTGTTTCCCCTTTCATGAGCTCCCTGTCACTTCCAGGAAAAGCCTAATTCAGGACACAAGGCAAGAGCTGGTGCAAGGGGCTTAGCTAAGATGCTGCTGGCCTTTCCTGGAAGGCACCCTGTTGGCATCTATGCCCAGGCCTCTGTCAGGAACACCTTTGTCCCTTGGGGTTGTGATTGATGACGCTTTGACCTTCAAGACAGAGCTGTTAGTGCTTCCAGAATCCTTCCAGTCCACCGCCTTGGCCCTGGCTGCTAGGTTTTCAGCACCAAGTGCCTGCCTCTTTCCAGCACTTATTTGAATCCATTTGCTTAAAGTTTAAATTTTATTTAGTTATTTTGAATAGATTATATAGTCCCATTGTATAACTTTCAAATGCTATAAAAAGTACACTGTGAAGAGTAAATGTACCCTAGGCCCTGTCATCCACCAGAGGCAAACAACATTATCTTTTTTGTGTGTTTAATGTTTCCTATTCAAATTTTTTTCCAGGTATGTAGTGGTAAATACAGGCCTGAGAATGTTTAAATCCTTTTTAGATAATTGGTAAGATCCCATTCATACTTTTGTATACTTTGCTTTTGTCATGCAACAATGTTATCTTGAAAATTTAAACATTAAAAATGTGATACCTTTAAAATTACTTGATGTTATCTAAAACTTAGATGTCATGTATATTTATTTATTTATTTTAAACCTATACATTGGCCCTGCATATCCCTGGGTTTCGTATCTGTGGATTCAATCAACTGTGAGTCATAAATACTTAAAAATTTATATCTTTATTGAACACAAACAGACTTTTGTACTTGTCATTCCCTAAACAATGCAGCGGGACAACTATTTGCATTATATTATAAGTAATCTACAGATTAAAGTATCTGGGAGGATTTGCATAGATTCTATGCAAACATGGTGGCATTTTTATATAAGAGACTTGAATATCTGTGGGTTTTGGTATCCTTGGGAGTCCTAGAACCAACCTCCTGCAGATACCGAATGACAACTGCATACACGTACACAGGTGTGTGTGTGTGTGTGTGTGTGTGTGTGTGTATATATAATGGTACATGTATAGTATAGCTCAGAATATGAAGGCATCCTTGTTTCTGTTTTTGGCTACATAGTATATCATTGTATGGATAAATCAAGATTTATTTAACTAGTTCCTGTCACTCAACAACATCCAGGTCATTTTCAGTCTTTTGCTTATGCAAACCTGACGTGAATAATCCTGAGCATACTGTGTCATTTTGTACACATACCGGTCTATTTGTAGGATAACTGTGCACTGAGAGCTAGCCAGGGAGGGTGTGCTTATTTCACTTAAAGATATTGCCAGATTAACTGCACCTGCAGTGACATTGCATTTTGTTACTTTCCCCTTGTGCCTCCTCCCCTAAGGCCTTGACTGCCAGGTGGTGAAAGGATGGCCTTGCTCACCTTTGTGTCTCAGGATCAGCACCAGCCTTTGGGGTCAGTCAGTACTTGTCAGTGATTTGTCCTTTTGGAGCGATCCACTGTACCTAGACGAATGCACTAAGCCGGCCTGCGGCCTGCCCAGTTCCAGGCTTTGCTTATCTGGTCTATTCTCTATGCAGTGGAAAAAGTGAGTATGTATAAAGACATACATAAGCCATGCATAGACATGTACACATACACACAAATCTCTCTACTCTCGGCGGTGCCCATGGCATTTGGAATAACAGGCTCCTTACCGTGATCTAGTCACATGGAATGGCCCCGCCTCGCCCATCTCTCCCGCATCTTTGGCTACTGCACCCTCTCTGGGACTCACTGCCCTTGAACAGTTGGGTCTGTTTTTGTTTCTGCAGTATCCCATCCACTTTCCTGACTCCAGGCCTTTGTACTGCTCTTGGCCTGGCCTAGAAGGCTCTCCCCTTGGTTCTCTGAATGGCCAGCTCTTTCCCACTTTTGAGTTGCAGCTTAAATATAATTTGGGAGAGAAGCCTTTCTGGACCCTCTCCTTCCAATCAAAAGTTCCTCCTACACATCCCAGT